CATTGTTGCAGACAAATGGGAATACAGACTCCTTCTGGAGTCTGACTTGTGCTCTGGGAAAAGCTGGAACCCTTTAAAGAGACCAGCTGGGATATCCTTCCCTTTATCCTCTAGCTCTACTTGTTCCCTGTGCTATTCCTATGGAAACTGACTTCTGTGACCTCTACCAATGGGCTTCCTTGCCCTCTAGTTTCCTATTGGGTTTGGCCAATGGTGAGAATCTGCCAGAAATCACAAGCACTCCCATGGACTGGCCAAATCCCTTAACCAAAGATCTCAGTTCCCAATAGGAAGCTCTTCTTCAACACAGTCATCCCTGTCTCTGGGTTGGAATAAGTGGTTTTCTGCCATTTTGACCCTCAGGCCTGGAGATGGCAAAGAGCAACTGTTAGAGGTTCACTGTCTCCACACCAATTCTTGTGGCTCCTCAACACCTCACACCCTTTATTCTACTTGAGGAGGTTATTGATTTCATTTTGGGACCCAGACAAAAGCCTAAGATAGAGATTTATAAATTTTATGGGACATAAATTAACCATTTTAGTAGAAAGCTTTTTTTTTTTTTTCCTTTTGGAAGTTCCTACCAGCATACGGTTCAACTCCACTATCTAGGTTCACTCAATTTTTCTTCTACCTTCCCCACCGCCTTGGCCACCCACCCAGCCATGAGTTCTCCAGGTTTCCATACTCCAGCAGCCCATCTCCACTCTATTTTTCAAGTTGGAAATCTGGTATTCATTTTGACTTTATCCTTTCTGTACTTGTCTATAATCTACCCTTTCCTCTCCCTCACTCAATGTCACTCATGTGTAGTTAACAGGGGCCTCAGAGCTGGTGTCCATTCTGAGAAATGAATTTAACTGCCCATAAACAAAATGGCCACAGGTCAAGGGCTGTGTTCCCAAGATGAACCCCTGAACTGGTTTAAAGCTACTCACATCCCTGAATCTCTCGCTTTCCAGCTTTTGCTCCTTCTCTTGTCCATGTTCCTTCTTTGTGCTGCCAGTATCATCACCTGTTTACTGACTGTGTTTATTCTCAATACACTTTGCACCCTCACATCACATTTCCTTCTCTCTTCTAGAATGCTGCTTCCCTGGATTAATGCATCACTAACAAATGCACTTTCGTCCCCCCAACTCCCAAAATAAACCTAACCATTCAACATCTGTCAGTTGTGAAGCTGAGAAGTGCTGCAGGAAAAAAAAAAAAATCACACCAGGGTGTATGACTGCAAAACTTCAGTGACAACCTCAACTGTGCCCTCTCTTATATTCCAGAGTAAGTGTCTCAAATCTTCTTCAACCTCACCTTAAGGCCACATCACAGAGATGATAGAAGTCATCAGATGAGGGCTCAGTAAACTCTGCCATTCCCACATACAAATGCGTCTGCTTATCCCCATCCCTTCCTCATCACCTCCTACTACAAGATCCTACGCTCAGGACTACCCACCTAGCTGCCTTGTGTTGATCTCTTTTTCTTGCTCTTTATCTCTCACTGACTTTGAAAGGTTGGAATGTTGCAAGGCTCAGCTCTAGGGCTTCCTTTCCTTCCACGTTCTCCCCTCGGTCTATCTGCTTCACTGCTGTAGCTTTCACCATAGTCTACATTCCCACGGTGTTTCATTGCTCTTAGAATGAAGCTCTTGCTAAGACAAAGACCCTGACTGACCTCCCCTACATGCCTCTGCAGCTTTCGCCCTTACTTCCTGCGCTCCCAACAAACTGACTTTTTTCATTTCCGTCACAGCACCATGGTCCTCCATATCCCAGGTCATTCTTCTCCCACTGCTTGTTATAATCCACCCCACACCTCCCGAGCTGGGCTGTCTGACGTTTAGTCATCCTACAGAGCTGAGCCTCAGTGGCACCTCCTCAGAGAAGCATTTCTTCCTTCTCTTGCTTCTCTGACTAGGCCAGCCTCATTTTTTTTTCAGGCTCAGTTTTTATATAATTTTACAATATAGTGTATCTCTCCAAATTATAACTTAATTAGTTATGTAATTTTTATTATTCATTCCCTCACCAGATATTAAGCTCCACTGCCTGTTACTGAATGTCCCATATCCAGTAGGTATTCAGGATAATGCATTAATTCATTGAACAAACATTTTCTTTCAAGAGTCCTTTCCAATTTTATAAGACGTAGGTCTCCTGATACACCTCTAATCACTAACCTAACAGTTCATGGGAGATCCATCCATTTTTAAAAATACAACCCCACACTCTCTTTGACTCCCCAGAAGTTTTCTGGAAAGAGCAGTTCATGTGGCATTCACAACACAGCCATCTGCTGACCAGTGAGGCAGACAATTAGGTCATTGACCTTTGTGATCATTAGAAGGGGCTCTTTGCCAAGCTTCTTCACCAGATGTATGAGAGCCTGGTGCGGACCAGAAGCACTAACGTGGTGATGGGCTGACTCTGGCAGGAACCAGGCTAGTCTCATTAGGGGCTGTGCAGCTGAATGTCAGTATCTAGTTCAAGATGCGGCTCAAAATGGTGCTACTTGCTCTTTGAGCCTCCTTCCCAGGAGTTTTGGCCAGCTTCTGAGATGAAGAAGCAAGACAGCAGAGGTGGCGAGGCGAGCTTCATTGACAGCCAACTGTATTTTATTAAAAGGAAGACTGGCCATCAGCCCCATGTACTCTCCTCATGCCCGAAGAAGCCATTAAAGAGTGGCACCCGGCCTCACCTCTGTGGCTGAATGAGCCTACTAGTGTAAGAAATAGATCTGTTGGCATTGTAGGATGAAAGGCCATTTTCTATCAGGGTTACAAGAAACTGCTGCAAGGAGTATAACTGGGGCAGCCTCTGGCTGCTCTGCTTTGGAATCCACTGCAGTGGGCATCCCCCAGCCAATGACTGGTTCATTTCGAACCAGCACGCTCCCTCAAATTCAAGCCTGAATTCTCCCTCAACAGAGTTTTGTCTCCCCTTAGCACTGCATGGTACTGTATTCGCCTTGAGATGTAGGTTGTGGTGGAATTTGAAGCCGGAGATAATTTCCTGGAATGACTGGTCTAGGGGGTGCAGTTCCTACTGGATTCAAAACAGGTGCCATCACTGCTCGTTCTATATCATAAGGGAAAGAGGAGGAGGAGTGCTCCTTCGCAAATCCTCTTCCTGGATATCTGAAGAAAGAGGGCCCCTGGAGGGATCACCTTGGACTTCCTTCACTGATGGCCAGTACCCATTTAACTCACAAATCTAGAGTCAACCAAATTTCTAGAACCCCGCACTTTCCTTGGTATTATTTATGGAAATGACAGGCAGCCACGCTGTTCATTCTGCTGATTCCTAAATTGCACATGAAATATGTGCTCATCTTACTAACATTCAAATTTCCCGTGATATATATAGCATTCATAGGATATTCTCAACAGAAACCTCATCAAATCTCTACCTCTTCTATTAAAATTATATGAGAATTACTTTGTTTGCAGTTTAAGGACTGAAACTTATATTAGCCAAGCCCCCCGAAGGGTGAATTTATTAATTTAAACAACAAAGAAGTCCAGTAGATAGATCTGGCTTTGCACATTATTTCTTCTTCATGGAGCATAAAAGCTTCCTAGCCCTGGCTTACCTGGTCATCACAGGTGCTGATCTAAGAAGGAAGTGCTTATTACAAAAGGGCCAGGTATATATAAGACCTTGGACTGGCCAATATGAGCTATAAGCCAGTTTCTGAATTAATCACTATGGTTAGGTAGTAGAGGTGTTCTACATGGAAAATATTTGCAATTTATGTAACAGACCAATGACCTAAATTTTTTACAGTGGGCATACATTAAAATTCCTATAAATAAGAAAAAGAAAAATAACCAAAGAAGAATACAGACAAAAGCCGAAGAGAAAAATGAATAACAATAAAAACAATGAAAAATTCTCATTACCAACAGTATTCAGTGAAATAGTATAAATTAAAACAATGAAATACCATTTTTACTCTATTCAAATATAAAAATTCAAAGGCAGATGTTGATCAGAGTGTGGGGAGATGGGGTCTCTTGTACATTGCTGGAGAGTAAATCACCATCATATACCCATATGTGAGATGACCATGCTGTCAACAGAAATAATGGGTAGTGTGGTATATGTTAGCATGGTAAAGTCTCCAAGACAGACTCTTCAGAGGGAAAAGGCAATTCACACAGTAGAATGCTTTGGAAGCTGTGAAGGTGCAACTCAGGAAACCTTGCTGCAAGGAGTGTGACTGGCTGACAGCCAAGAGCAGCCAACTCCATGGACTCATGAAGCCACAGAATGAGGGTACATCAACACAAGGCAAAACACCTTAAAGCAGTGTGGTAAGTACAATGATAGAGATGTGCACAATATAGACACAGAGACAAAGATCTACAGATCTACAGACATAGACAGGTAAGTGCATGCCCAGAGAAGCCAAACCCAATGCAACTTTGGGAAGATCTGAGACTTTGGGTCTGGGATGGCTCCCAGGAGGAAGATGATCGAGCTGAGATGTTAATTGGGGGCAGAGAAGAGGAAAGCACTCCAAGCAGACAGAACAGCATGAGCAACTCATGGAGGGAACTTACGACAGGTTGCTAAATATTAGAACAGAGGCTTGGATTATGACAGTTGAGGCTAGCGAGATGGGCAGAGTCCAGCAAGGCCTCTTTTTATCAGAAAGAGCCTGAATAGGTTTTTATGTGGCAAGAAGCCATGGAAGGTTCTGGAGCGGGAGAGTCCATCTGAGAAGAGATTAGAGGATAATAAGACACAGGTGAGAACAGACAGGACACTGTCATTCAGAGGAGGTGAACATCTGGAGAGGAGTTCAGGATAGTGTTGTACTAGTCAGAATCAATGGAGGGGAAGAAATCCAGGAATATGGAGTCTGTGCCCTCTGTAGGAACTGGTAATGGGCAGGAAGTAGGAGGTGGCATGAGAGATGGGGAGGAGCCCAAATGATACACCCCAGGTTCTGGTGTGAGGCAGAGAGGTGGTGAACTGAATCAGATCAGGAAACCTCTACCTCAGGGAATACAGTGACAGTTGCAAAGGCATCTAGTATTGTCCTTCTGCCACTGTCTTAAAAGGGATTCTAAAGGGATTTTCTTTCCCTTGTTCCTCCAGCACTACACTTGCATTACTGGCCTAAGTGGATACTCACCAGCTGGCCGTGTCCATCACTACAGCCAAGTCTGAGAATTCCTGATTATACTTAGAGCCTGTGGAGCTGCTGACACAAACAGTCATTAGCAGACGACCCTTTTGTAACCAACTATGCTTTAAAATGTAAACTGTGGGGGCATTTTCCTTGCATTGTCCAGAAGGAACTTTCTCCTGCGTGAGCCTGGATTAATCATGAGAGAGCTCGTCAACATTCCACTCGTACATATTCTTACTTTGGTTGCCTTCAGCGGGACTGAGAAACTTCCAAAAGGTTTGTTTCAGGAATCTTGTCTTCATGTTGCCTTGTCACAGGTCTAGAGTGTATGTGTGTATATGTGTGTGTGCTCCGATCACGACTAATTACTGTGATGGTGGGCTTGGGTGTTGCTTGGTGAAGTAGGGGTGCGATGGATGGAGAGGGAGAAAACTGTGTAAATAAGTGGTTGATTGATGGTTACATTTCTACAGGCATCCCTCCCTCACTTAAGTTCGGCAATAAAAGCTTAACCACATAGTGCATGCGGAGCTCTCGCTTGTAGGGAAACATCAGCAGGTAGACTGCAAGTTATCAAGGTCCGTTTTGTTTACGCGTGTGTCAAACTTCATGGTGGTCTAAATGGAGGATGAAAACATTTTCCCATTAGGTTTGCCCGGAATATAATCAACCCTACCCCCAGATGTCCAGAGTGTTTGCTTCTGAACAAAAATCCTTTTCATTTTCAGTTTCAGTTTTGCAAAATTCTTAGTAAATATTTTACTTCCTTAAAAATTGGAATTAGAGAAAGACCCACACCATTTGCCTATATAATAAAGGCCTGAAGACAATGAGTTCTCAATAACTTTGAGGTTGGAGGCATGGTTTGGCTTGGCTAGAACTGTGAAAGTTTTTTTTCAGAGCCTTTGGAATGTACCGGAAATAACACCACCTCAGGGAAAGGAAAGCAACTTAAGAAACTGACAGACACCTGTTGCAGTAGCAAGAATGTCCACAGTGATATGGTTTCTGGCCAGTGTATTATGAAACTGAGACTAGCGTATTTCAAATCAGGAAGAAAGACAGGAAAATACGTGATTTGCAAAGTGACTGGGGGCTTCTTTGAAATTTTTCTTTAAAGACACGATTAAGATTGAATGATATCAGTTAAAGAGTTTTCCGATTAAATGTATTCGAGTAAAAAGAGTTTTGTGTTTTCTGATACTCTTGAATTAATTATTTTCCCTCGATGTTACTTTCCCAAAGAATTGAAAATGTTTGTATTGTATAGATAAGTGAAGGTATAGTATCTGTATGTAGATGGGAAAAGTAGCTTTACATTTTTCGGTTCACTAGAATTTCAGGAGCCACAAGGACAAGATTGCTAATGAGATACAACTTTCCTCACAAACAATCTGATTTCATAGATTTATGTTGTTTTGTTTTCCTTTTCTATCTTACATGAGCATAAGGGTATCTTTAGATGTATTTAAACATTGAATCGCCAACTAATACTTCAGGGTATCTCTAGATAAGGAAGAATCTGGATCTTTTCAAACAGCTAATAATAGACAGAAAGACTTAACATTGGCTTCAGATTATTTTAATACTTCCTGATCATACAACGGATGTCCGGTAAGGTAGCACCTGAATGTTCACACTTACAGACTGCGCTAAATCTTATTTGCGCTATTATAAACCACAAAGTTACATAAAAATGACATGGTTAAATGCTAAAATTTACTAAAATTCAGTATCATAAGGAGCAAAATAATTGATTTTGATGGTTTATGTAAGGATTGGGTACATTAAAAAAAAAGCCTACCTCTCTATATAAACAACCCCTAATCTAGATTCCAGAAAGAAATGATTTATAGTTTCCAGACTTTATAGGTAAAGCCCTTAATTCAAATGCACACTATTTCTATTTTGAAAAATTCAAAATATGGTGACATAAAGATAACAAAGCCAAACATCCTGGCTTTTAAATAAAGTGGTCAGATTGTTAATTCAACTTTGTTTATAATTTACTTGTTTATAACTTATTTACTTATTTATGGTAAAATTTAAACTAGGATGAACTTAACACCAACCCTAGCCAAAAATACCGGGCCTAGTAGAACAAGTATCCATTAACTACACACATGTGCTCTGAGAAAAAACTATCATAAAACACAGTCCTTCAAATTTTAAATGTCAGCGTTCATGAAATATATTGGCACAAAACCCACAAAAATATGCTATTATTTTAATACTACAAAGAGTAATAAGGATGTTCCACACAAACTATCTCAGTTACGTTTCCATTCTTGACACAGAATAAAAAGAGGTTTTTTTAGATGAATACCTTTGTCCTAAGTCCTTTATCATGAATGAATCACAATAATGTGTTAAAAAATAGACTGACAGATTTTTAAATAGTGCAAGAGTATTTAGTGGATTTTTTCAAACTGTCCATATACCATTTCCTCAATAAAATTAATAACAGACTTTGTAGAATTAATAGTTTATTGTTTTAATTTTAGTTGAGATTCCCAATGTTCAAAGACAAGGGGGAAAATTCACTTGCTCTGAATCATTCCGACTAGTGATACTTTCAATGATGAGCTCAATATGGTAACCCACAAGAGAAATATACAAACCTCTGTGTATGAAAGTAACCCATGTTTCATTGCATACTCGCCTTAACCACATACTTCAATAATATTTAGTGCTTTATTGGGGAATATTAAGTATATGGGGGGATTTAAAGTCTGTAGGAGTATAGGAGTTCATGTAAGCAGCACTAAGTTTGTTTAATATGCACAAAGAACTCCTGTCCAAACTCCACTTTTTAAATTACCCCATTTACTCCAATACCTAGAAGTTTCTGAGTCTAAGTGGTTTATCTTCAGATATATTTGAGTAACCTCCTCTCTTACATCATATGTATACAAAGATAGGATTCACAGATTCAACATATGACTAAGTCAGAGCAGGCACAGCTGTCATTGAAATCCAGGACACCAAGTCCTGCATGAATATTGACGTGCATTGAAAGAGCAACTCATTACGTGTCTGGGGAAACACAGTTGCTTTAAATATTATTGGCCTTAACAGAAAGAAGGAGCAGAAATATCAAGATTTCTGCCCCATTCCCAGAATAGCAGGAAACTTCTCAATAAAATAGGACTTAAGGTCATGGGAGAAAGGGACAAGTAAGGGGAGACAATGGGGCCTGAAGAATGTGGCCCCATTCAGGAAAATGAGTGAAGGAGCAGACAGAGAATGCAGAAGAACTCCATTGGGCATGCTGAGGACCCAACTGGGCTTGGGGACTGAGCCTTTGTCGTGGCCTTGACCTACACCACTGTCTCCCTTCATCTAACTATACTGTATGCACATAGGAGCCCCAAGGACAGCTGGTTGGATTAGTTCAACGTTGGTGCTCCCGAGGGTCAGTGCAGCTGAAGGACTAGAGAGTAAGGGAGCTGAGATTATATGGCAACATACCGTGCAGTCTAGGCTGAATAACAAAGGCAGTGATGTGAGGACATTTAAGGCTTGGAAGAGAACATTAAGATCAAGTTCCTTTTCCTAGTCTCCAATGTCTTTCCATGTGTCTTTAGGGAGAGCACATAGTCTCTGTGAGCCTCTGTTCCCTCGTAAAATGAAGATGTGCATAGTAGTGTTCAACCTATAGTGTCATATACTATGCTAAGGACTGTCAACAATTGGCAACATGTTCATTCTTGGGTAGCATGCACATTTTAGATGGATCTCTATGAGACCACATCTTAACCCAAATGAATTCCCCCAGGACAGGCAATTTCAGACATTCTAACAAGCTGGGCCAGAACTCCTACCAGCCTATGCCCAATACCATTCCTGAAGGCAAAGACCAAAAGTGTGTTCCGTGACAAAGAATGAATGATACCACATTAGTAAGTGACTGAGATTATCGATGAAGTTTATAAACTCCAAAGGCATCATCATAAAAAATAACTTCCATTTTATTATAACACCAGTAGAATAAATGTGTCAGTTTCTAAGATAAGCCAAATGATGAGCAATACTGAATATCCTCTTTCTTTGGGGCATCTGAAAATTTTCCAGCTCAAAGTGTTTTCTCATACTGAAAAAACAATACTGTATTCATGATGTCAGGAAAAAAACAAACATGAGTATATCCCAAATGTGAGCTCTAATTTTACTAAAACAGAAAGGAGCAAGCACACCTGCCTTCTTGGTTTACTCGGTCATTTATTCATGTTAATCAGCAACTATTCAATCAGAAGCTGGTATGTCGATGGCTATGTGATGGAGCCCATAAAAGGGTAATGTCATGTCCTTCTCATCAAGCAGCAAGGATTCAAGTTAAGCTACTCTTTGGGTACAGGAAAGTGTTGTGCTCATTTTCATGTATTCATGTGGTCCTTGGATTGAGCGAGGAAATAGTGCTCTAGTTTCAACAGACTCCTGCTGAGATGAAAGTTGGATAAGAGAACGAAAGTAAACAGGAGACAGTCTGCTGAGTCAACAAATATCACTAAATACAATGATGTGATTTTGTCCGTAACGATTTGAAAGTGGATTTGTTTGGATAATTTTGAAAGATGGGCGAAGTGAACTTAACCAACTCTATCCTGCCTATGCAAGTTGATATTAATGTAAATCTTATTTTTCTCTCTGTGAGTGGGTAGTATTATGCTGATGACGTGAAATAGCTTAGAGTTAAAAGACAGGAACTTTAAACCAGGCTTCACCTTGAAGGTCAGCTCTATCACTTCCTACTTTCATCATGTTTAGACAAGTTACTTAGCCATCCTTAGCCTCCATTCCTCATCTGCAAATGAGAATAATAATAGTATCTGCCGTTATGTTTGTTGTGATAAATGAGATAATGAATGAAAAGTCTAGTTCATAACCCATGGCAGGTTCTTAATTCTGGATGCTAAAATTATTAAAAAACAGAGTTAAACATGACCCAAGACTGCCAGGCCACTGTACACGATGGGAAGGTGTTACTCCAATAAAAGTTCTTCCTAACACCTCACGTATATCTCCGTGAATGTCAAGACACTGTAACATTTACTTCCTTGATCTTAACTGATCTCCATAGTTTGTAAAAATATTAATAGTACGTCTATTACTTCTGTCACTTCGGAAGTATCAAGTGAGAAGAAACTAATGAATCAAGTTTATTTTCTTACAACACATGGCCATGAATAATCATTTTGAAAATACAAAATATAGAAAATCTTGAAATAGAAAAAAAATCACCCCAACTTCCAAGACTGTTAATGTGATGGTATATTTTGTTCCATATTTTTGTATGTATCATAAAAAACTGTTTATACAATTCTGCTACCTGCCATTTCTACTTAACATAAAAGCATGAGCATATTCTATATCATCTATACTCTTGAAAATACCATTTGTAGTGACTGTAAATAATATCCTGTTTAGACAAGCGTCACTGATATATGTTTAATAGCAGTCTCTCTGAGACAAAAAAAAAAAGACCCTCATTTGTTGCATTTGTTGATTTCTGTAGTGTAAATACTCTGACCACAGTCGATTTCAAGCAAACGACGAATACTGAATTGAGAAGAGATGTGCCGTAGCGTACCTTTATGTACTATTTCTACTGTACAGATACATTGAATGTAAATTACTTCAAGAGCATAGATACTAGTACATTGTAGTAAAATAATTAGGAAACGATCCATTTTGTGTATTATTACTTTGTTTTTGACATGATTTATTTAATTATAATTTTTTTATTTTAATCTGTTAACCTGAGTTAACACACAATGTTAACATTAGTTTGAGGTGTACAACAGAGTGACCTCAACTCCTCTAAACGCTATGCTCTGCCCTCCACAAGTGTAGCAAGTGACCCTCTGTCGCCTAAATTTATATAATTTGGTTTTTAACAATGGCTGTATTTAACAACTGTCTCACAAAATTCTGGAAAAATTAGTGCTTGGCTCTGTCTAGCAAGCCAGTACCACAGCTAGAAGGCAGAACTGGGTGCCGAAATTTTCTTCAACTTCAACATGATTAGTACAATTAATCTGTTTTATACAGTGAAAGTGAAAGGCATCTATATGCCTTTCCATCTTGAGATTCCTTCCTTGGGATAGAGTCCAGATGTAATTATTCATGGTAAATTTGCAAGTCATCCAGAGACCAGGAGAACCATTGCACTGTTCAGGTTTACGTTTCTAAATTACCAAATCAAATAACACAGTGTTCCCTACGTGCAAAGGACAATTTTAAATGCTTCTCGTATACTCATTTAATGACTCCTCCTGTCAAGGCTTTGTGGTGGTTTTATTATGCTCTCCAGCTACAGCCGAAGACGCTGAGGCACTCGCTGACGACGGGGTGGACAGGGAGTGATGGAGTAGGGATCTGAACTCGAGCCCTGTGCAAGCCCCTCTCACTGTCTGGCTGCTCAATGGTCTTTCCTTTTATTTTTTTTTTTTTAAGATTTTATTTATTTATTTGACAGAGAGAGATACAGCAAGAGAGTGAACACAAGCAGGGGAAGTGGGAGAGGGAGAAGCAGGCTTCCTGCTGAGCAGGGAGCCCGATGCAGTGCTGGATCCCAGGACCCTGAGCTGAAGGCAGATGCTTAACAACTAAGCCACCCAGGCGCCCCTGTATAGTCTTTCCTTTTAGAGAATGAATTCAGTGGAGGGATGGGGCAACTGGGGGTGAGCATTAAGGAGGGCACGTGATCGGATGAGCACTGGGTGTTATACGCAACTGATGAATCATTGAACACTACATCAAAAGCTAATAATGTAAGTTGGCTAATCGAATTTAAATTTAAAAAATTTTAAAATAAACAATGAAAGCATTCATTATGATCGATTCACCTTGGGTGAATTCTTCATCATTTGCATCCCACAAACTTAATAATATTTACTGTTTTTATTTCTTAGTATCTGTATCTTAGTATCTATACAGTTGATAGCTTACTTCTTCCTGCCCCTGTATAAAAGATGCCATTTCACCTAAAAATTCTTCTCTCTTATTTCAGCTATTCTCTTTCCACCTTTAAAAAAAAATGCCTTTTATAATAAAGGTCTCAGAAATAGTTAATTTAAACATCACATCAGTCAATGTGCTAACCCTGGGGATAGGAAAAGGTCTAAGACAGGGTCCCTGGCCCCAAAGCTCAAGGTTTTGATAACTGAGAATGGGACAAAGACATAAACAGATCGTTTTAATCACATCTGTGTGACAAGTGCTATTAGAGTGACATTTGCAGGATGACCTAAGGTTAAGGGAAAGGGCATTTGGCTCTGTCTAGCAAGTCTGGGAAACTGGGAGAAGATGCTGCTTACACTGGATCTTTTTTTTTTTTTTTAAGATTTTATTTATTTGACAGAGAGATCACAAGTAGGTAGAGAGGCAGGCGGGGTGGTGTGGGGGGGAGCAGGCTCCCTGCTGAGCAGAGAGCCTCATGTGGGGCTTGATCCCAGAACCCTGGGATCATGACCTGAGCCCAGGGCAGAGGCTTAATCCGCTGAGCCACCCAGGTGCCCCCTTACACTGGATCTTAAGAAAAGAACAACATTAAGGAGGATGATGGGAGCCTAGTGGGACACTCACAAGCATCGTGTTCCCTCATTCTCGGCCCATGAGTTTGTCTCTGAATTTACTTTAAAAAGAAGGTTCATTGAGATAGTGTATGTACGTTTTACAGCCAATGTGCCAGTTTGTTTCATGAGGCTGTCACCCTCTACCCTGCAGCTAAAATATTGTTCACACCACTTACTTGGCTGTCGTGTGTACCTTGCATTTTAACTAAAATGACCATATAATTTACTGCCCAAAGTCGGGCACTTTGTGAGTGCAGGGGGTACTATTAATAATTGTGCCAGGAGAGCAGGCATAACTGACTATTATAACTATTTTATGGGTCTATCCATCCTCATTATCTAGATTGTGGCAAAGATAGGTTTTACACATCTTTTTGCTTCTAGTGAACCTGGTGTTTGCTACATGGAAAACTGTAAATAAATCTCTGATAAATAATAATAATGATATCAAAGTAGTAATGATGATAATTATCTTAAATACGATTATGCAACAGGGTAGATTTCCAGACTCACACAAATACAGGTGTGGGCACTTCGCCACACCATTTAGCCCTTGAGATGCCCAGGCCCCCACCCTATTTGCTTTGGCCGATCCACAGGTTTCCTTAAGCAGTAAAGAGGGGGTACATCTCACTCCCAACCTGCTCTCATCGTTTTTAATTTCTTCGTCTTCCTAACTCTTGTAATCCAGGTGACTCTCATTTCACAGGGGAACAGGAGGAGAGAAAGGACCATAGGACCATATCACAGCCTCTCCCCCTGTTGTCCTTCTGTGGAACACACACACACACACACACACAGGCACACACATACACAAACAAAACAACAACAAAAAACAAAAACATAAACAATAGCTTTGGGATCTAACTCACATACCACAAACCTTAGCCATTTAAAGTACACAATTCACAGAGTCGTGCATTTATCATCAAAATCAAGCTCAGAACATTTTCACACACTGTCCTTTAGCCACTGATCATCACCCCCTAATCCCTCCATCCTCTCCCCCGGTCCTAGGCAGTTGCTAACGTGTCTTCTGACTACAGAATGGCCCATCTGGACATTTCATGTAAACGGAATTATACAATATGTCTGGTTTCTTTCACTTACCTTATTGTTCCCAAGATTCACCCATGTTGTGGTGTTTATTAGTACTTCATTCCTTTTTATTGTCAAATAATAATCCATTGTATGGATATACCCATTTTGTTGACCCGTTAATCTGCTGGTAGACACTTGGTTTGCGCCCCCTTTTGGCTACTGTGAATGACACTGCTCTGAACACAGTTGTCTAAATGTCGGAGTCCCTGCTTTCACTACTTCTGGGTATATACCCAGAAGGGGAACTTTTGGGTCATATGGTAATCCTAGGCTTAATTTTCTGAGGAGCCACCACACTGTTTTCCATAGCAGCTGCACCATTTTACACTCCCACTAGCAATGCACAAGGGTTCTAATTTTTCCTCCTCCTCGCCAAAATTTGTTGTGGATGTGAAGTGGTATCTAACTGTGGTTTTGGTTTGCATTTCTTTAACAGCTAATGATATCAAGCATCTTTCTTTACACGTGCTTGTGTCTCCAACAGAAATGAAATTTATACAAGTACTTTGAAAAAAATGTCTATTCGGATCTTTGCCCATTTTTTATTTGCGTTTTTTGTCCTTTTATATATTGAGTCTTTTTCTAATCTACTCACAAGCAGATCTGAATTCTTTGTAAATCTGGTGAAGCTTGAGCTTCAAAGACTTTTGTTTGCAGGAGCCCCCTTCTAAAACCCTCAATGGGCTCCAGCAATGTGTTCATATGAACATATATTACTATGAAATTTGGGGAAAAAGTTGTTTTTAAATAACTGTTAAGACCTCTTTCCATTCTGATTCCCTTCAGCCACACTCCCCTTCAAGCTGAATTATGTTGGGTGGCCACAGATATTTTGAATGTATAGTTTTATATTATTTTCCTCAAGGTTGAATACCCAAATTACGTAACTTTGGGCTTCACAAAACCTGATCTGCCACTACTTATATCAAATAAATTCTGTCCTACTCTCCTGAGAGCCTTCTCTTTTGATCCTCAAATGCCAGTATGAAATAGAAACAATATTCTCTACATAAGATCTTCCTTTTGGCAACTTTCTGCTATGGGGAAATATAATTCTCATTTAGGTACGTGGTTGCCTCTGACCGCTCACAGAGGATTAGTAAACAGCATTCTAGAATGTTCTCATCTGTTGTCTCCTCTCCTTGTAGCTCCTGTCATCACTACTCCTCTGGAAACAGTGGATGCCTTAGTTGAAGAAGTGGCTACTTTCATGTGTGCAGTGGAATCCTATCCCCAGCCTGAAATTTCCTGGACCAGAAATAAAATTCTCATTAAGTACGTATTCTGCACTTTTTCTGATAAGAATGCCCACTGCTGCCTTTCCGTTTAAATATCATAAATGGAATCAAAGCTCTCGGTAGTACAAAAGCTCACATTCTGAATTTGAAAAATACAAATGTCCTCATTATATAAATGTAAGATCTGAACATCAGTGAGGTTAAGAGACTTGCCCAAAGCAAAACAGAGATTTCACTGACATGGGGACATCTGGGCTATTTCCAGGACCCCATTAAGAAACACCATGACATCCTAGGTCTGGGGGCACAGAGCACATGTTGCAGGACGTGCTAGGGAATTAATACGGACCAGACTTATCTCCTCTACTACTACTACCCCAATAATTAGTAAAGTATGCTGTCTAGGAACCTGACCTCTAGGTCACCATAACTTTCTTTTGAAAGTCAGAATATATACATATATATATAGATAGATAGATATAGATATAGATATAGATATAGATATAAAATGAGGCAGCCTCTCCAACAAATAAAATTCCCACTTGACATGAAAAGGTCATGCTATCTTTTCCTCATTTGCAATAGTTATCTGATCAGAAACACTTCCCAGGCTTCCCAGCAGGCAAAATAACTTTCCACTAGGGCCAGTGTGCTTACGCTGGTATCCATAGATGGAGGTCCATGAACCTGCATGAGGAAAAATTATGTTTTTATTTGCAATAAACCCTAATGAAAGTTAATGCTTCCTTCTGTGATACATGTTGTAATGTGGGAAAGTACCCTGTGCAGTGGTCCCCTTCAGGTTGTCTCCCAGCCAAGCTATTCCCAAAGTACTGGAATAGGAAGGCTCAGAATAAGAGGCCTGAAATACAGTTGACCAAATCCATTTAAAATATATAGATGGAGACAAGGGGAAAGAAATGGGATAAGTTAATGTACTTAGAAACCTTGGTTCACTCAGTGTTTCTATGTCTAGTCTCTGCTGTGCCTCAGACTTCCCCACTGCAGTGTTCTTACAAGGACCAACATGGAGGCTGAGCCCACAGGTGGAAGGTGCCTGAAGCTACTACATACCTTTGCTGTGTTGAAGAGGCGCTACCACACCTGGCCATGACTCTAGCTTGCCAATGAGCCTGCTGAACAGCAAAGGATTTTAAGGGTGTTTCTTGGGTAGAGAGCATAGGACCATCAAAGGACCACATATTTATTTTTTGAGAGAGAGAGAAAGTGAGAGCGAGCGGGCAGGGAGGGGCAGAGGAAGAGAGAATCTAAAGCAGTCTCCATGCCCAGCGCTCGGAGCCTGATATGGTAGTCAATCCCACAACCCCAAGATCATGACCAGAGTTGAAATCAAGAATCAGATGCCCAACTGACTAAGCCACCTGGGTGCCCCCAGGGACCACATTTTATGTCACCGATGGGTGGGTGATTTAGGGGTGACAGAGCTGTCCGTCTAGAGGTGGCATGACTATAAACATGTCTTTCCATCCCTTTCTACTTGAAGCCATACTCTGTTCCATCACATTTTCTATTTATTCTGTCAATCTTGGGCAGGTTGCTATTATTTACTGCTTATACTCAACACATCTTATCTGTTCTCCCTGTGTTTCACAAGTCACTCTCCTGCCTCCCTCTCACGAGTCATTGTGCCAATATCTCCTAAGCTATTAGTTTTACAATTTATATGCTCCATATTTTCATGAGTTTTTATGTTATTCATGAATGTCTTTGTCTTCTATAGTAAAATAAATAATGTCTTTAAATAATACAGAAAAACTTCATTGTAAATATGGATTGTGAATCACAGTGGTCATAAAAGAACCCATGAAGTTATCATGGAAGTTAGAGAGCTCTGTATTCCATTACAGCTGCTGCATATATCTTGACATATTTATACCCTTCCCTACTTTGAAATTATAATAGCTATTAGACAGTCAACATTCAGTATTCAAAGGTCGATCTTGAAAGACTACTCTCCCTACCACAGCCCTCCAACTTGTCTGGGAAGGAAGTTTGATGCCTGCATCATTAAATAGCTTTGAAAAATATAGCCCTACGATCCTCTCATATGTTTATCTCTCAGCATTATACAGAGATGAAGAAATGGACAATGAAAGAGTTTTTGCAAATTACACAGAGAAAATCAGCATTACAGTATTTATTACATATTTATTTCTATATAAATAAATAAAAGCTCATGCTATCTTGGCTTGTAATAGCATCACTTAATACATTTGAATTTAATAAAATCACTTAATACATTTGAATCTTCCCTTTATTATAAGGCAAAAATGTTACAAATAAATAAGAAGTAAATGGAGCTACAGCTTTGAATAGTTAGCTGTTAATCAAAGGATCTGTGAAATAGGAAGAAACTACATTTTGAAAATCTATTTGCCTGTCCCTTGAGGAATAATGAATATCTGGACACAGAAGAAACCCGACAAGCACTACCTCAGCCAGGTGATCAAGTTTAATACCAACAGCGAGAAATGACATTGACAGCATACCCTTGTTATGGTGGGATGGGGCACTCTGCTTTTGCAGTCTTCCTCCCAAAGCCACAAACCCAGTTTTATCATGATAAAAACACAAGGCAAAGTCCAGGAGAGGGGTACCCTACAAAATACTTGACAAGTACTCCTCAAAACAGTCAAGGTCATCAAAAACAAGGAAAGTCTTAGAAACTGTTGCAGTCAAAAAGAGCCTAAGGAGATGTGACAAATAAATGTAATATAGTGTCCTGGATGAGATCATGGAACAAACAAGACATTAGGTAAAAACTGAACAAACCTGAATTAAGTAAGACTTATAGTATCTGGTTAATACTGTATCAATATTGGTCCATTAATTGTAACAAATATCCCACATTAATCGAAGATGTTTGCAGCAGAGGAGACTCATGCGGGAGGTATACGGAAAGTACTATCTTTTCAATTTTTCCATAAATCTAAAACTGTTGTAAAAAAAAAAAAAGTACTTTAGAGGCACCTGGGTGGCTCAGTGGGTTAAAGCCTCTGCTTTCGGCTCAGGTCATGATTCCAGGGACCTGGGATCAAGCCCCGCATCGGGCTCTCTGCTCAGCAGGGAGCCTGCTTTCCTTCCTCTCTCTCTGCCTGCCTCTCTGCCTACTTATGATCTCTCTCTGTCAAATAAATAAATAAAATCTTTTTTAAAAAAGTACTTTAAAAATTATAAACACTTGAGAGTTCCTCACAATCCACAAGCAATTTACTCTAATTAAACAATAATGATGCAACAGCTTATAAATCTTGAACACTTTAGATTTCATAGACAGCCTAGACTCTGGGTCCACCAGGTATATCTGTAACATATTCCGATGTTCATATTTTTCCATGAACATTTACAGATAACAAAACAAAACAAAAAAATCAACAAAATTACATGAGATGGAGTGTCACGGCCTGTCACAATTATTTATTGTGAGCTAGTGAACTACCCAGTGATTCTATTATCCTTAGTCACATTAGACCAAAATCTACTATATGTCTTTTGGTTCCTCTTCAGGATCAGAATACGACAGTAGTCACCCACTAAGATTAGAACATCAAGAATCCACTTCCTTTCCCATTTTTTGTTTTCACATTAGTCCCCTATTTCTACTGTAACAAATGACCCAAAACTTAGCGACCTAAAATAATATAGATTCATTATCTTACAGTTCTGGGAGTCAGAAGTCTGAGATTGGTCTCTGTGGGCTAAAATCCAGGTGCTGACAGCGCTGCATTCTTCCTGGTGGCCCCAGAGAAGAATCTGATTTCTTGCCTTTCCAAGCTCCCAGAGGGCTACCTGCCTTCCTCGGCCCCTCCCTTCACTTTGAAAGCCGACAATTCTATCCCTCAGCCCTCCACCACCACTGTCGCATTTCCTCTCAGTCTTTGGCTTCCCTCTACCACCTTTCAAGGACTATCATGATTACCAATCTATACAAGCCATGATACTCTATTTTAAGACTTTTGGTATCTGTAAAATCCCTTTTGCCATGTAAGGTAACATACTCACCAGTCCTGGGGATTAAGACGTGGATGGGGGGAGGCATTTTCCTGCCTAATGTATATATTTTGCATAGAGAATCTTTATTTGGTCATAAAACCCACTTTTATGTTGTTGCTTCCCCTCACATTTTTCTGTTTCCCTAATCCCTTCTCAACAAACAGCATGTAATTTAATGAGATAATGTATGTAAAACATTGGTTTTTACAGTTTGAAGCTGTTTTGCTTCCTTATATATTCCAAGGAACTAGAACTGTGCTTGGCACTGTCAGGCACTCAACAAATATTTGTTTAATAAATGAATGCCCAGTTAATTGTCAGTTACTTCTATAAATATTACGTTCTTCCCACTGGTCACATTTACATGTGTGTGTTCATTCCCTGGCTGCTACCTTCCAGTCATTATGGGGAGAAAACTCATATATCTTAGTAATATACTTTCCTGAGTAAAGTAAACTTTATGTTTGGTCTTATCAATAGGCGTCACCCTTTGAAAGCGTGCTGGAGGGACTCCTGGGAGCTTTGATTATTGGAGCGTAGGGAATATTAGAATGCATTGCTAGCTTTATATTAGCAACTAAGGTTATCCTATTATTCAGAACTCATTCAACTTTCCTTTTGCTATTCATCTGCTTCCTCCATTGACAAGTCATCTGTTTTGATTGGTGAATCACAGCTGAAAACCATCACACAGGAGGTCGTAACCCGCCATTGCTGTCTCTGACCCCCAGGCTCTTTGACACCCGGTACAGCATTCGCGAGAACGGCCAGCTCCTCACCATCCTGAGCGTGGAAGACAGCGATGATGGCATCTACTGCTGCACAGCCAACAACGGCGTGGGGGGCGCCGCGGAGAGCTGCGGGGCTCTGCAAGTGAAGATGAGTGAGTGGGAGCCTCTGCTCCTGAGGTTAAAGCTGATGTGGTACACCCCAGAGCAGGCAGTAAACCGCCCCCACCTTTGTTACCCCGCACACCTGGAGGCTCAGCAGCCAGCCAAGTTCAAGATCAAAACGCAACCTTGAAGCAGTGAATTCTACACCTTGTATTCCTGTCCTCAACTGCAGGGAACCCCTTAGTGCTCCACTCTCCTGTTTTCTCGCCCGTCCACAGCACATTGCTTGCTCCATCCTGCCTTCCGCCATCAGGGAACCTCCCTCTAAAAATCTTCTCCCTGTATCTTTAAAACAGGTGCATTACAACCAGATGCACGTTTTATCTCTAATCTCTTCACAGACACTTCCACCCTCTGCCTTGTTTTAAATTTTATTTTCTTGGATGACTTTTCAAACTTGAGTGGCTTTTCTGCTTCACTGGAACTGTTTCTTTTACCCCACTTTTCTGTCTGCGAGGCTAGCAAGGACCCGTAGCCCCCTTTCAAGCCATTACTGCTGTGCAAAATCTTTCCTCTCATGAGGGCGGGCACCATTTTGACCACTCTCTCCTGTACATCTACTCAAGTTATCTACTCACTTCTAGACACTCCCCTGCACAACCCCCAACATCTACCGAAGACTTCAATTCCAGACTCATTATCTTTCTATCCATCCCTACTCCTGCCACCATCCTAAGGGATTTGAACAACCCTGGAACAGCCTCTAGCCATTTCATCCTTACAACTCCTGACCTCCACAAGTCCAGTGATATTTGCCTTAACTTTTCATCAGCTAACCCCATCAATGACCTTGTCACCCCCAGGAAATGGCCTGTATTTAAAATCATAAGCTCCAGTATGTCACACTCTGAACATGAACACTTCTATTTCTAGCTCTGTCCCATGGAGAAAACGCTTTCCCAGACTCATGATGTGTCTCCACAGAGAAGGCACAAACTCCATCTCTTTCCCAGCTAAGAACAGAGTCCAGCTCTCTTGCTCCCTTACTCCCACTACACAGCCATCACCAGCATGTTCACGTTCTCCTGCCCTTGACTCCTCTGTTCTCTCTTCCACCCCCAATCAGGACTTCCTCAGTTCTCTCTCCACTTGACTTTCTCTCCTACCTGGTGTTCTAGCTTCTTACCAGCACCCACAAATCTCATGACCTTCCGTGCTGGAAGCCCTAGCTGTTTGCAAATGTCCACCTTGTCATAAAATAACCTTTATTTTCTTCTCTCAGACACCGCACTGCTGATGTGAAAAATCACATCAACATATGGGTGCCATACAACTCAGCAGGGTCCAGTTCCACCCGGGGAAGTTTACTGCAAGTTTTGTTATTATCCCTGATTATCATCACTATTTCTTTTATCTTTTACATTTCTACTTTGTGGTCACTGTTTTTTGCTGAAGGAAGTCATTTGCTGCTTCTTTTCAAAGTGTGAGCATGTGATCATATAAAATCTGAGAATATTTTCTGAATCTTTGCATCGCTGGAAGTCTTTGCTTTGCCTTTACTCCTGGATAATAACTTGTCTCTGTACAGACAAGAGTTTAAAAAGCCCTTTCCTGGGGCACCTGGGTGGCTCAGTGGGTTAAGCCTCTGCCTTTGGCTTGGGTCATGATCTCAGGGTCCTGGGATAGAGCCCCGCATTGGGCTCTCTGCTCAGCAGGGAGCCTGCTTCCCTCTCTCTCTGTCTGCCTCTCTGCCTACTTGTGATCTTTCTCTCTCTGTGTCAAATAAAAAAAAATAATTAAAAAGTCCCTTTCCTTAGCTTTTATTAAACAATTATTCGCTGTTGTATAACATTCCATGCTGCAGCTAAGAAATCTTTTTCTAATTCCTATAGGTAAGTCTAGTGTTTATCTTTCTTAAAAAGTTTAGCATTTTCTCTTCAAATCTAAAATTCATAAACTTCCAAAATTCACAAGAATATGTTAGATGTGTTTTCTTTTATTATTTCTACTTAGTTTTAGGTGGGCCTTTTGAATCTAAAACCAAAGGTTTGTTGTTGTTGTTGTTTTTCCAAAATGAGATATACTTTTTCCTATTTTTCTTCCCTTCATTTTATCTCATTCTTAAACTTTTATTTTTTTACTCTTAAACTTTTAATTAACAAATATTAGATCTCTTTCTTTTTCCATTTTTCTTGACTCCAATATTTTCTCTTCATATTTTCTACATGGCTATCTTGATATTCTATCTTCTTGGAGATTTATTTAACTTTTCCTTCCATATCATGAACTCGGGTCTTCAATATGACTATTCTACTATTCTGCCCTTATACTGACTACTTTGATCTTTAAAACCCCTAATTTTCATTTCTAGGAATTACTTCTCTGCTCCTTTTATTCAGAGCAAATTCTATATGTTATATGATGCAATACTTGCTCAAGTCTCTGTAAGGGTATCACTAATTAGTTCATTTTTATTATTTTTTTAAAGATTTTATTTTATTTGAGAAACAGAAAGAGCATCGGCAGAGGGGAAAGACAGAGGGAAAGGGAGAAGCAGCCTCCCCAATGAGCTTGGAGCCCACTATGGGGCTCAATCCCAGGACCCTGAGATTATGACCTGAGCTGAAGGTAGATGCTTAATCAAATGAGTCACTCAGGTGCCCCAACAAATGCATTTTAAAAATATATATATTCTTCCCTTTTTTGCTTTATTTCTGTTTTCTTCATAAGTTTGGGTTTCCTTTTGGTTCTTTTTTTTCCATGTTCATGTTTTTTCTCAAACATCTATTAATATTTTATGTTTGATCATACTTATAAATGAAGTCCTAGAATCATTAGAATAGGTATGTAGAGGGACTAGTTGGACATTGTGTGGAAGCTGGTGTGGGGGTTCTGTAAGTGGGTAGGGGTGAACCCACAAGAAAGCTTTCTTTCAGCATGGAGGGCAGTGAGGAAATCATGTAAGGAAACAAGCATGTTCTCCTTTGCTAAATAATGAAGGCTTGATTCTGAAGACAGAGCACATTTCACTGCTTTGTGGAGCTACCTTTCCTTTCTCATATTCTCATATTTCTCACATTTCTCATATTCTCTCTGGCTGTAAATATTCCCTGTTTTGGATCTATCCTAAATCTTCTATTCTTTTTTCCACCTTCTCCTTAGGAAAGCTCACCCAGTCATGTGGGTATACACAGGTTTGGCCATCTCAGTTGCTAACATTTTGGAATGCTCCCACACTGCTTTAGTAGAGACCTTCCTGAGACTCCCAAGACCCTGGCCTCCATCACTACTCCAGCTACCCTACGATCTCTCTCAGAGCTCCCTCAAGTTCCTTGTGGTCCATCAACTAAGGGTTCCATGCTAGCATAACATGGTGCTTCCAGCATCCCATTTTAACAAGATGATGAGCTCAGATGAGCCAGTGCTCATGGCTCCACCTGAAGAGCATTCCCTTACAGTGGGGAATCCACGACTCAATATCAATGCCTATTGCATTCTCAGTTCACTTTATATTCAAGTTCCACAAGAGTTCTCCTCACCTCTTACCCAACAGACGACCAAGACATCTATTTCACTGAGAAGATAGGAGTCATTTGCTTTAAACAAAGGTTATCTGCTTAAGTTATATGCTTAAGGCATAGGGATCAGTTCAAGGAACCCAAGGGAAGGAATGGATAACACCTTCTTGGCCTAGGTCCCAGGAATATCAATTCTTCAGCTAAACTTTTGCCAGCAGCCATATGACAACACAACTCACAACTGAGGTGCCTGGCCATCATCTAAATGTAGGTGTCCACTGTTGTTGATGAGGAGAGTTGTGTACTTTAGATAGCAGGCAAAGTGACAAAGTTGCTATTTTCCCATAATATGCTTCAAGCCTATCTTGTAATTTTGCCATAATCCAAGATCATACCAACTCTAAAAGGCAATAAATGCCTAGATTAAACATCAACAGACCATGCAGTCTTTGCAAATATCACTTCCAACCCCCACTAACCCCCACGTGTACAATTAAAATAGGAGGAAAAAGTCCTTATTTCATGCTTTTATCCATCAAAGTAACACACTGATTTTAGCCCAGAACCTGAAGGAAATAAAATATATCCATTTCTCAGTAGCCTCTCCTGCAAAGACAGGTCTCTGTAACATGATATTCCTAAGGAAATAAATGTAGTTTTCATTATTTATGAATGTTTCAAGTAGTAAAATAATAGGCTTCCTGAACTTGTCAATTCTTCTATACATTAGATTTAATAACTTCTTCTGAAAGCTTACTATCGGAGAATAAACAGTAGCTGGCATAAACTATTCCTTCTGACAGAATTAATTTAAAACCGGTTCACAGAATAGTAAATTACAACAGTTTGCTTCACAGAGTACAGTTACTCTAAATTGTATGACAGAATTTTTCCAATTATAAATATAATAACATCTAGTTCTAGAGGATAAATGTATCTAATGCTTAATCAACAAATTTAAGAGTCAAAGTGAAACTAAAGGGAAAGCATAACTCAGAATTAGGCAAAAAATAGATAAAAATCATCTCTTCAAATGTTTTTGTGTCTATTGGTATGAATTAAATAATGTTGAATTGTTATGGTGACAGTTCATTTTAATCAACTTTTCATTAGCTATCTTTTAAAAGTGAAGAATACTACAACTTCAAACTCCTAATATGCTTCCTGAATTTGTGGTTTTCAAATAAGATATGAATAAAACCAAGATAACTGAAACTTTGAAAAATGATTCCTATTTTATATCCACTCAAAACCTGTCTTAGCATTTGGTAAATCCTGTAATGTAATAAATTATTCTTAAAGTGGATATTTAGACTTAACTAGAAAGGAGAAAGGTTAATGCATCCGTATTGTCTTCCTGATTTTGAATTTTCGTTTCCCTTTAGAGCCGAAAATAACTCGTCCTCCCATAAATGTAAAAATAATAGAAGGATTAAAGGCAGTTCTTCCATGTACTACAATGGGCAATCCCAAACCATCAGTGTCCTGGATTAAGGGGGACAGTGCTCTCAGGGTAAGTGATTATTATGAATACACGTCTATACAACTTGTTTTCAAACACAATTCTTTACAAAGTCAGTTACATGATTACAAATTCCTGGTATAAAATTGTTCCCTTATATAACAGTTTCACCAAACTTACATAGTCCTCTTCCCATACACACCAACTATAAGGCATTCCCGTTGGGGTTGGCTAAGGGAAAAAAGATGGGAACCAGTAGTTCTTTACAGGGATGGCCAAAGAAGCAGAGCAAAGGCAAAGCTAGAATATTTCTTTGTTGACTGGTTGGTTAGTTGAATCAATTTATTTTTTGACATTGAATCTTTGAGACACAGGAGATAAAAACAAAAATGAAACTAAAATCCAGGTCTTAGACCCAACAAACAGTTTCTGGAAGGAGAGTGAGAAAGGAGGTTTGGAAGGAAAGGGATGAGAACCTCTGGAATGAAGTTAGAGCACAAACATCATCAAGACTGATGAACAAACTCCCTGACAAATGCCTCCGTCACAGAGCAGTCAGATTAAAAATCTACTATGTACATGCTTATTTTGTATTGCTTTTGTATCTCATAACTACATTTACAGGTAAATGATTACACTGCATCATCATTGTCACCTACTAACTGTGAATTCAGTGAGATTTTTCATCTTATGCTCAGAATATTCCACAGAGAATATGTAGGTGTTGATATATGTCAATTAACGAAAACGAGGTACAATATCGATTAGCTTTGTTTTATTTAAAATAAAACAAATAAAGTTGTTTGTGATAATCTATATAATTTCAAATGCTATTTTTTGATGAAAGCAGCAATGGTGATGACCTGATGAAGTAAGGCAAATGATATCTTGATAAAGCCATGGACGTTTTAAAATTCATGTCCCTATCCCTGGCAGGAAAATTCCCGCATTGCAGTTCTTGAATCTGGGAGTTTAAGGATTCACAATGTGCAAAAGGAAGATGCAGGACATTATCGATGTGTGGCAAAAAACAGCCTCGGGACGGCATATTCCAAATTGGTGAAGCTGGAAGTTGAGGGTAAGGAGTTGTATTCCTTCCCGTTATGGGGCTATTAGAAGGGCCTCACGTTCTACTGTGAAGGCTGGACATTAGCTTGCAGCAGCAGATGTGTGGGTAGACCAGTTCCCTCCACTGTTCCAGATACTAAAGCATAAGGTCAAAACTCGGAAAAGAAAAACTGAAAAGAGAAAGAAGTGTGCCCTGATATAATGGGTCATATTCCATCCATTGCCCACAATCCCTGGTAATTTTGACCAAAACAGATTAAATTCACTAAAATACTAATACAGCAAGACACCAGTTCAGAACTTCTATTTGACTTAGACAATTCTCCCTTGCTTATAAATTTGAAAACCCTCATTTTATCTTTATCAGCATACAGACATGACTTTAAAAAGAGTAAAGAAAAAAAGTAACTTTTTTTAGGTTGTATTCTGTCACAAAGGGTTGAGAAAAATAAAATACTGGCTCAAAATGTATAACGAAAACTATTCCTAGTTCCGTGAGTTATATTGTCAAAATATTTTTCATTTATTTAAAATGTTCTCTTAAAATCAACCAATTCAGCAACTAGTTGTAAAGGTCTTCACTGAGAAATCAGAATCCAGACAGGATTAGGTGTTCTACCCATATGATTGTAAGATCCTTCTTGACCTAAAATCACATCACATTTTGCTTAAAAATAGAAACTACCAGCATGCCTGTGCCCAGTGAGCAAACTAAGTACAACACTCTTCCCAGCTCTTCCTGTTCTATGCTGTAGAATTAATCTCTCTGGCTCCCAGTTTTCTCAACTGAAAAGTGGAATTTCCTTTGAGTATTCAGTGAGGTGGTGTTGATAGTAGCTAACAGAGTCCCTGGCCCTTTGTAAACACCCAATAAATTTTGACTAAAGGAATCACCTATTTTTCTACTTTTCTCTTATCTGACTGATAAAGTACTTGGACTTTCTCACACTGGACCATATTATAGTTCATTTGGGAGAGACCCTGGGAGTTTCCCCTAGCTTACTTTGATTCCATCCTATTCACGTAAGCCCAGATCTCTTCCTTTTCAATCATACAGTTTTCTATTAGATTCTTTTAGATTATTTTTATTTCCTAGGTAGCCCTTGCTCTGACAGCATTAAGAATCTCATTTCCCACATTTGTTTCTAATTGAGGTAACATCTTTACTACATCATTGCTTCGATTGCTCATAGAATCTCTGTTAACTCCGCAAAGAAAAGAATGAGGTTGATGGGATAATGGCTGTCAGATGTAAAAAAAAAAAAAAAAAAAAAAAAAAAAGATATTTTCAGCATAGTTACTGTAATTTAGTATCTTCAACATTAGCAATGGTATTTAAGGCACAGTATGCAATGACCACTTGATACAACTTATTCAGTGAAAAATAAATATACAAACATGTTCAATCACATATTTGGACACTATCTGCCTAGATTCAGTGTTTCCTTGAGATGTACATGGCATAATACAGAGTGAATGTTATCAATTTGTATAAAGTGTCACAAAGATTTTCCTCTTCGAGATTAAATATAAGCCCTCCTATTGTAATATTAAATGTTGATAGTTTAGGTCAGTATCTTCATAGATATTAAAAATATTTGCTTCAACAGTGACCTAGAGAAAATGAACACAAATCACAATTATTTAGAGTCCAATTACACAGTTTGGTCCTGCTTTGCCATTTAATTTTGCATCACACATATCAGTAAAACTGAATACTGTCTTCTTTCTTCTTAACACTTAAATGGTCATGCTCATTGCCTTAATAGTTAATATACACAGAGGTTATATTAATCTCGCTAGTATTGAGAGCACATAATATCACTTAAAGTTACTCTAACAGTAGGTAAGATGATCCTTTTAGCACACATCTATTTCTACTCCATTTTAGTCCCTGTTAAAGGAGCCAATATATGTGAAAATTTGTGACATGCTGAGCACAGTGTCTGGTACATAATAAACATTTAATAAATGGCATCAATTATCATCATTACTATTAGAGCATTAATTATAGCAAGTCTGTGTAGTTTCTCTTGAGGTTCTGAAAGGTTGGCTTCCACTTAAAGAAATAGTTAAGACATTTCCAAAAGATACAATGCAGACATGATCTATTTAAAGGAAGGGCCAATTTAACCAACAATTCAGAACAGGTGAAAAACCAACTGAAAAGCAACTGGTATGACCCTGAATGTGTCTGTAAAGACCTACTAACTGGGCAATAATTAGGGCTGAGGATACAGCTGGGCCATAGTCAGTGAGGCAGGTGACCATTTGTTACGCACTGTGTCAGTAACTCTGAGAATTATTTTGAGCAAATTAGAATGAGAACTCCATAATGTCATTCAATGCCGGGTTACATGTACTGATCATGGTCATGCCATGGAAAAGCTGTTTGCCATTGTCAGTTTCTGATGAGGAGAAGTATACCAACTGTGGATTTGGTAGAGTGTTTTCACTAAATTTTAACTTCTGTAACAAACATGAAATAGCCTTCAACTCAAAAGTTAAGCTCCCTTTCTAGATCGCCAGTCTTAAGCTGCTGGATCTCTGGAATGACAACATGAACATATTCTAATTTTCTGTCTTATCTTAAAAGGTTCAAACAGTGATATATAAAATTACTAATGAAACCATCTAATTCAAGCATAGCCAAACATGGATGTATCTCCAAAAGGACGAGCAATGGGATGGCTAACATTTTAAGATGCTAAATGCTTACGTGGATTATTTTATTGAATCCTCACTGACAGTCAGTGAGGAAGGTCCTATCATTGCATCATTTAAGAAACTAAAGAACAGAGAGGACATCTAACTCACAGAGGTGTCTAAGAGACTGAGTAAAGCTAAATACTATGTGTCCTATTAAGGAACAGATATTCATGTGTAACACTGCCAAGAGTAGTGTCAGAACAAAGGTGGGAGAAAAAGCCAAGATTCTATAAATGATGGAGAATAGGAGCTGAAAAAAAGGGACAGTGGATATCAACAAATTTTTTCAATAAATTTGGTACTGAAAAGGAAAAGCCAAAAAAGTGAGCAGTAGCTAGAGGTATATATGGTACATACGTAATGTTGTTGTGCAAGATTTCTTTTAAAAAGATTAAAATGTTTAAAAATACTGAAAATTTTAAAATATGAATAAGAAGTGTCTCAGAGAAAAGGACATTTATATATAAAGGAGAGAGGTAGAATATTCAAGGGAATGTGGTACTTGAGAAGGCAAAAACAGTGTATTGAGGGGACAAGTAGAGTGATAAGCCCTATATGGAGGGTGACCACTTGTCCCAGTTTGCCCAGGACAGTTCTGGTTTACACCTGTTGTCCTGGAATAATTATTAATAGAGTCCTCCCTGTACCTTCAAAAGTATCCAGGCTTCGATGATAAATTATTTGATCACTGTACTTAGGAAGAAGGAACTTCCTTCCTTGTAATAGGAAGGAGAAAGGGGGTATATTCCAGTATAAACAAGTTAATGAGTTTGGTAGATGGAATATGAGAAAGCTCTGTTGGTTTCTATTTCCTTTAGGAAGTAGAAAGTAAGTTTATCTTCTGAAAATACTTCTGTAAAGGGAGGTGGAGAGCTGAGGAGAGTGGAAAGGTTTTAAAATAGCTATTGGAAATGCGAGAGATGACTCACAAGTGTAACTAGGATTCCTACATAACATTAAAGTTTTAGTAGAGAATGGAACTGTGAATATGGAGTGACATCAATGTGCCTCACTGCAGAAAAAGTAGAAGATGTTCAGAAAAAGTAGAATGGCAAATCCAAAGGCAAGATACAGGCACTGGAAGGAAAAAAGGGCAAAGGATTTAAAAATTATTGCAAGAGAATGGTTGAAGGAATTAATCATGGCATCTTTTCACACCAAATATACAAACGTAAGCTTAAACACTTACAGCACCGGCAATATGACAGACAAGATAACATGAATATCTTCCTATTACAAACAGCCAGAATTGCTGGGTTAGTCATACAACCCGCAGGATAAAATTATATCTCCAGTGACCAGGAATAACTAGAAATTGAAAAAACAGCAGCAAGCTCATGAGCTGGCTCTACATTGTCCTGAAGGTAAAGGCACAGGTGTCCATCTCTATAACCTAGAATATTTAAGACTCTTAAGGGGATGGGAGACAAGGTCTTGGGCCCCTGTGAAGGAATGTTAGCCCTGAGAACCTTCTATAAAGCTGAGAATCACAGAAGTGCCAAGATGGACCGGAAAAAGTCCATCCGATGGTACATAAAGACAACGCAGAGGCTTGTTGGTCTACCTGAATTCTGGGTGTGAGAAAGAAAAAAACAAGTTTTCTTATGAATAAATCTGTATTCAGTGCTTAGGACTATATCTCATATAGGTTTGACAGTGAATTCATACTGCCAGCACAGGCTGGTGCTGCCATGCTAGAGAAATTAACATAAATATTGGTCCCAGACCAAAAATTTAGCAACAAAAAAGCTTTAAAAAATACCTTACCCAGATTATATAGGATTTTCATAATAAAGCCACACTAAGGATGAGTTCACAATGCAAAATTATAGCATCCACAGGAAACTGCCTTAAGGGAGAGTTCGCTGACACAATATACAAAGGGATCAAAACCCCAGGAAATTCAGCTAACTCAATGTGAGGCTTGAAAATAAATATGTGTAAACTAATTAAAGACACAAAAGGAGAAAGAAAAATACATAAGAAGAAGAAAAGCAGTTCTGATAAAGAATTAAATAATTTTAACAGATGCAAAACATAATTATAATTAAAATTCAATGGATGAATAATGGTGTTTTAGAGATAAAGAGATAATGCACACATTAGAAGTCACCTCTTCAGAATTTAGAATTCAGTTCAGAGAGATGGAAAAGATAAAACTGAATTAAAGAAATAGTTATGGATATGCATTACAGAAAGAAGAGAGAAAATACGAGGCTATACTCAGAAGCCTAATGACTGAGTACTAGCCAAAATTATTGAAAACTTTATCTTCAAGGGACGCCTGGGTGGCTCAGTTGG